AACTCAATGGTCCACATTTCGGTTTAAAATTTTTATAATTTGTAGCTACTTGCAGTGCTGACAAAGTGACCGCAATCTAAATATCTACCCATAGGGTAAGGCCCGTTATCCCATTATGATATGTTCGTGCATTTTAGAAGTGCAGCCGTTTAAATGATCGCATAAAGATCTTTAATCAGATGAGAGGAATCATGTCATTTTGTTAAATGTAATACAGAATTATACCTACGATACAGTAAGTACGTGAAAATCTATATGGATCTCATTAACCTGGCTATTTTATATGATGGAATTATTAGTGATTTTAATTGTACTCTAAGTAACTTCCCTGTATTTTCCAAATTTTATATACTGTGTTTAATTTTTATCTTTGATAATTACCTCAAGAACCTCGATTATATGTTTTATTGTTGTTTTCCCTACAGCGGTAAAACCCCCTCTGAAAGTAATTTTGTGGTAGTAAACGTTGGATTTACATTGACCCTGCTAAAGCCTGCTGAAAATATTTAGATATCGACCCAGGCTTCTGGAAATTAGATTCATATTTAAAAGAGACGTTTTCTGTCATTTTGCAAAGGTGAAAGGTCACTATTTTGGAACTGCCTGGGCCTGGGCATTCGTGTGGTAGGCAGCCCCGCGTGGGCCCGAATTCTTCGTGATTGCGAGTGTCTGCAGTCCGGATGGCAAAGTCTGGGGTGTGGGGGACTCCCAGTTGGGGTCAGGCAGATTAAAAGACATCAAGCTCAGGGGAGGGTCTGCAGGGGACTGACGCCAAGCTTCTAGAAGCGGCAGAAGAGCTTGCAGCAGAACCGAGCCCTGCCCTGTCCGTATTTCAGGCAGAGCCTGGAGGGCAGCGTGGGGGTCAGGACGCCTCCGCAGGGGCTGCCCGCCACGCCCCGGGACCACGCACCACGTGCCAGACACGCTGCTCCACGTGAGCAAAAGCCCTCACGGAGAACGACCGACCACCAGGCGCTAACCCACGGTCCCAGCACACAGAGAGCAGGCCACGCACCAACGCACATCTACCCGGGAAAAGTGCCTTCAGCCGTCACTGAAGTTGGAATCACGAAACCAGCTCGCTCAGAGGGAAGCCCCCGCCCCCCACCACACGCGCAGCGTGGAGCGATGGGCTAAAATCAATTGTGTTGACTGCGTGGTTGCCGCCCACACCGTTCCGTGCCTGGCCTCAGCATGGAAGGGAAATGCAGGATCAAGGTGGAAAAAAAGGTTGTAACTGTTCTGTGGTTCCTTTAAGGCCTTGCTAGGCACTGAGCCACCGGAGACCGTGCCAGGTGGGCTGGGGTGGACTGGCCACCGTGCCCACTGCGGAGGGTCCCGGGCAGGGTCACCCCAGCTGTGCTGGAGCTTCCTCTCCTGCATCAAAGCGTGTGTCTGCCGCATCCTCTGTACTGACTGCAGCTAATAACGCAGACAGCCCCAGGGACAGGCAAACCCGATGGGGAACCCTCAGACACCCTCCTTCCTGGGGCAGCCACACAGAGGGGCTGACCACCGGTATGTTTGTCTGCAAATAACTACATTTTATCACCGGAATCGATGAGGTGACATGTCACCCTGCAGTGATTCCAGCTACAACCGCCCAGGTCACCAGCCGCTGCAGAGACACAGCGAAGGCCGAGGGTCGCCGTGTGTTCTGGACTCTGAGACGGTGTCCACTCCCGCTCCTGCAGCCCCGCTGAGTACTGGACGTGGTTTTGTGTGAGAGATCACACGGTTATTTTAAATGTCGTTCTGTCATCTGTGTGTGCTACATATGGTGTCGTACATGTTATAACACAAACTTGGCGTCCCCAAACCACAGTTACAAGTTCTCAGGACTGTAAAGGCTTCTCCAGCTATGGCAGGACACCACGTCAGATTAGGGGTCACGACCTGCGTTTTTAACACAACAGGACGGACTAGAGTAAGACAGGATGCCCAACGGGCAAGGCTGTCATTCACGAATTCTGTTGGCTACATACATGCACACGTGTGTGTGTTTACAGGGCTGCAATTGACAATGTATTTTGCATTTTTTATATGCGTTCAGGGCAAAAAGGGCTTCAAGCCGGTGACGTAGTGATTCTGTGAGTGAATTCCCTCTACGAGGTGGCCACCCAGGGGCTGTGCACACACCCGTGAGCCAGGGCGACCATCCTGCTGCTCAGGGACAGGCATCCACACAAGGAGGACCCCGGGGGGTCAGTCCTTCGCAGCCCAGAGGACAAACTCACGCCCAGGGCAAAGTCGGACGTGCACACAGCCCCTCGGGCCCCGTCCGTCCCAGGACGCCCCTCCGGCCCCTGCACCCACGTGAGGAGTGTCTGTGACCACCGCTGGGACCTGCTCCTCCTACGGCACAGAGAGCGCCACCGCGCAGGGCCTCGGTACCTTCTCGATGAAGTACATCAGCGGGTCCTTGCCGCGGGGGGCGGGCGGCTCCCAGCTGAGGACCACGTAGTTCCTGCTGATCTCCGAGGCGTGCAGGTTGGTGGGGGGTCCCGGGATCTGGACCTCGCCTGCAGGAGGAGCAGACCTGTGAGTGGGGAGGAACCCGTCGCCCCGCAGCCCCCCGGGGTCACTGGGGTGTCCCTGGGCTCTGAAGAGCTGCCACATTATGCTGTCCTTTGCTTTGTTTCTGTTTTGGGAAAACAAACGAACCCAAAGACTATTTTTTCAGAGCCAAAGTGTAATACACTGTTAAACATCATGCAATTATTAAACACTTTTGTTTCTAATGCAGGTATATGTGCCAGTTCATAAGAAAAGTCTCATCTGAAAGTCTTTCGGAAGAAAGGAGAGGATTTTCCAGAAGAAATCCGGCCTTTACCCAGAAACAGGGCCCTGACCGCACTGAGGATTTGTGCGGAGAAACCATCACATTCTGTGATCTGCGGTGCGGGAGCCTCACAGGTGAGGTTGTGCCGTCGCTAACGACCCTCTCGGGGAGTTGCTTTCTCCCTGCTGTCGTATCTCGAAGAGTTTAAATCATACATCAACTTCTAAAGCACCGTGTTCGGTCCTCCCTCCGAAGATCCGAACCATGTGCGCAAGCACCGTTTCCTACACCTGCTTATTTGAAACTCTGGAGCGACGTTGACCTGCCTTTCGCAAGCAGCGAGGAGAGAGCATTCGCCACCACAGATGTCCAGCACGCCGCGCTTCCGACACACGGCTTCTTTTAAATACAATGTGAGATGCAGGGTTTTCTGTTCGAATTTGCGGGAGATTCTTATAAGGGGTGGAGGTTTTCCAGACCCACAAAACATTATGAGCTTCCCATTAGATTAGCACATGATTAAGATGGTTTGAAACCTCCCTGGGACGTCTCTGAGCCCTTCTCAATATCCGGTTGTTGCCTCAGGACTCTGCTGCAGGCAAGGACTAGAACAGCCACACAACAAGATTGGGTTTCACTGCATGAGAGTCCCGTTACGGGGCTCATAACATTTTAAAGGCAGCTCGGGCCCGGTCTGAGATCGTTCTGGCCAGTGGGTTGAATTTCAAACAGGGAGTGAGCCCGTCTCAAGGAAAGCTCACACGTGGCTGAGCCGTGGGGCAGGGAGGACGCGTGTCCACACGTACAGACCACAAAGGAGACCTCGGGAGAGAGAAGACACGGAAAACTCGTCTTCCCGTGATACCTGCCGACATCCCAAAGCTGCATCACGGTTCACCCCGCCCACGAGACGCAAACCGAGAGCACGGAAGGAAACACGGCAGGTAACGAAAGCAGGGTGGGCGCGGGCGGCGGACTGCAGAGCCTCCTTCACGCTCTTCCAGACCCTCCTGCTGATTCAGACCCGCACGTAGCCCCCGGCCCAGAGAGAGCGGAACAGGAGACGTCTCCTCTGAGGTCCAGGCGGGAAGCGAGAGTCCAGCCGGGACCTCGTCAGCAGGGACCCCGGCGGGGAGGAAACTTGAGCTGCTGAGACGTCTTCACCACCTGGGCCGTGCAGCAGCGAGAGCCCCACAGACTTGTGGTCGGCCCCCCA